CCAACTTGGACATAAAAACCCATTACAAGCCTAACCCAATTTACACACTTCGCCTCGTGCCACCCACCAGGCATAAATCATGGTTTCATCAAAGGCGAAGCAATCAGATTGCTTAGAACAAACTCTCCGAAAGAAATATTGGAGGCGTGCCTTTTAAAATTCAAACAACACCTCAAAACAGGAGGGTGGGAGGGTAGAAAACATCATAGAAAGGTCTCTGTCAGGGGTCAACTTTGCCTTTATGCAATCGGCTCTTACTCATGCACAAAAGCAAAAAGGCCGCAACGTACCACTCGGCAGTTAAAAATTTAAAACAAATATCTATGGAACATTGGAGTCAGCCCTTGCTGAAAGCAATCTTTACAAAACCTCCGATCATGTCTTACAAAAAGGGAAAATCACGCTCGTGAGAGGAAAAATATAATTTGAAGGTTACAGTGCGACGCGACCACAAAAGCCACATGGGGAGTCCGTGCCAGTCTGTTCTCAGCTTTATTCTAGGGCTTAGAAAACCTCGAGTGACATGATTTGGGCACTGCTCAGTAATTAAAATAAAAATTTCGGCATAAATACGAGACCCAACCTTAAAATGAAGAAGCGCTGCAAGAAGTTATGAATCTCAAGTAGAAACCTCGGAAAACATTTCAAATGGTTTTCCATAGGCTAACACAGTAAAAGTGTGAACAACTTCCTGTTGGGAATTAGCGAATTGAAAACAAAATTTAAAGCTTAAAACGGCGCGAATAGTTAGTTAAACTACATTTTATAAATAGAAAGCTTAGTAAATGCTAAGAAAACAACATTTTGCTCAGAGCAAAATGTTGTTTTAAAAAAGCGTCCTCCTCTATTCCATTAAAGCAAAGGCTTTCGATAAATTAAAATCTGGAATATCGTCTAATATGGCTTCATTTCTCAAGGCGAGAAAATTTTTCAGTTATCTTTGGGTTTACGGGGACAATAGTCGATAGATTTTTGACCAATCAGAGCGTACGTTTTCTCTGAGTTCTGTCATAATGTTTGTTCTACCGGTTACCTTAAACTGGTTTTTTTAAATTTTTGGATTCTAAATCAACTTTCTTTTTTATGTGTTTTAAAAGTCCGTAGATCTGATTCGGAAAATGAGAATCGTTTTTTTTTTTTAAATTTTTGCAGTAATGAAAAAAAATGATGAAAATTAATTTTCAGTAATGAAAAAAAAAATCGAACACTTGTTACAATTATGAACCAGAACTCCTTCTCGTTTATATGAATGAGAACTGTACCTCCTTTCACTTTAATCCAAAAGGTTGATTTCATGCTTCCTTCGAGGTTTTCAGCACTACATGTGTATTCGCCAGAGTCTTCAAACCTCGCTTGACGAATCATGAGGGTGTTCTTTTTGCCAAGATACATCCCATCCTTAGTCCAGAGTACTTCAGGTGTAGGGAAACCGCTTAGAGAGCATTTGAATTGAAGAGGGGAATTGTATGTAACCGACTGATTCTTGAGCTCAGGATTAATTTCAGGAGGACCTGGACAGAGAATGCAAAAGTACAATTCAAAAAAGGTGAAATATGAAAAAAAAGAAAAAAAACGTCAGAAAATAAGAAGACAAAACGTAATTCTAGCACTTAATTGGTAATAATGAAGCTTCCTGCAGAAAAAACAAAATGTTTTTAATTCTGTGCGAGCCGTATATTTTTTTCTTTTCACAAAGAAAAAGGAGGGTAAGTTTCCAAAATCTCTCGGGTCTTATCAACTACGTTGAAAATGTAAAATGGCCACCGTAAAGAT